TCAAGTTCAGATTTCGAAAAGCACTCGAACCCACTCTCATCCACCTCTTTATATCAACATTTAGATTTAGCGTCACCTTCAATCAAAACTTAACAATTTTTTATTTTACCAGGTAAAACCGACTGCGCTATAGAGCTCTTTTTCAGAGGCGACTTAGCTACAAATGATAACTCAAATGAAGTGGCTTATCATGTGCGGGGAAAAAACGGATGACCCAGAGAAAAATCCACACGACCACCGTGAGAGAGAACACGCAAATTCCAAATATTTAGCAGCAGGCGTCAGGGTCGAGATCGAACCCACAACCTCCTGTATACGAGGTGAGGTAGTTAACATCTCCTAGCCACCGCGGCGCGATGTTAACCAATTGTCGCAGCAGACAAACCCTGGCGGTGTTCTCTGGTCGTCTCTCAGCACAGTTCCTCACGTTCAGCGCTCACGTGCACGTGACTTTTTCCTCTGCTCGCATTTATCTTCCAGTACCTCATTCCCAATGGTTTGCACAGTGAAACATCTGATATGTTATTTTATTAATATCTGCATTTATATTCGTGGCTTTATATAATTTTCTGAAAATGTCTTCTAATATGCCTGTGAATGACTTGCTTTAAAGCATAAATCCTTGCATGACTTCTCTTGTGATGTGAATTTTGTTTCTTCATGCCATCTTAGTCTAGCTTGTTCCATTCATGTCTATTTTCTTTAGGTAATTTAAATCAAGTTGTGCTAAAGTTATACGAACTTTCATGTTCGAATAAAGATATAAACATCGTCAGACTGCTCTGCAACCATTGCAGCGATTGTCAATTTGGCGTTACTGCTGCCTTCATGAGATTTACAAACCGAAACACTTTAAACATTTCAGTGTGCTTAATTGGCTGTCACCGTTCATTCGAGCTCAGGAGGATGAATGACTGGCAATCGTATGCAGAGAAGAAGGCCTCCCTCGTCATCTCTCACGGTCTCGCGATGATGCAGACATCTATCGGGCTGCTGCGCACAAATTCACCGCTCCATCTCCACCACCGAGCATTTTCCCAACCAGTGACACGTCCTGCCCGAGCCCAATTCATGAACGGTAAATATGTCTTTAACGTGCGCGTGTTCTCTAATGCACGCGTTGCTCTTCCGTGCGATTCCACAACATTTATAATTCGAGTACGACGTTTCGCTGGTAATTACAACAACCAGCCTCATCAACCAATGATCCATATGGCAGGCAACAAGATAGGTAAGCAGACAATGTCTCCTTCGCGCATCTGTCCAACCCCATCAAAACAAGCAAAAGCATTTTCACTCGAAATGTCCAAACCCCAAGTGCGTTTACTTGAACCAGGGGAGAGCTCAAGAGACCAGGAGAGTCCAATTTGCAAGAATGACCTGCGTCAGCACCATAACGATAGCAGCAACGACGACATCACGACAGCGTACGACGATTAGGCCAATTAGAACTCGAGGGAAAAACAACCTGAAAAGCATCGGGAACAAAAAACCACGTTCCAAACAAAAGTAAAAAAATCCAGTTCTCACACATTCATCCAGATGAGCGGACGAATCCCCTCCTTGGCAAATCTGTACGTCCTCGTAAAAAGACAAAGTGTGTGTCGACAAATTCCGTCAACCTCACGGCCTTCTTCTGCTGAGTGCCTAAATTCAGCATCATTGGTTCAACACAAGCAAACTCTAGAGCGGTTTCAACACGCAGTGTCTTGTCAGAAGTTGGGCTTGCTTGAACCGATGCTGGTGACATGCACCGATTTAACACGATCCTGTGCAGGCACGTGTATGTGTGCAGCGTGAGGGTACGTGTTGTGCAGGCACGTGTAGGGACGTGCGGTCAGGGGAGGCAGGGGAGGCAGGGGAGGCAGAGCCTCACCTGTCATACTCCAATGAAAATATCTGTTACGAAAAGTAAAAAAAAAGAATAATCAAATAAAATAAATATTAAGATTTTTCCACTGATCTGTTTTATAAATGTAATTTCTGTAAGATTCCAATCATTTTTATAGTCAAAATCGCCAAATTTTCAGAGCTCCGCTGCAAATACAGGAAGAGATGAGAGGTGAGGCAGCAACGAGCTCAGCCTCCCCTCTGATTGCGCAACCCCTCAGGAACTGGATGGAGCGCGGGCAATAAGCGCGTGCCTGTTACTATCTCAGTATGTTACCAATGTAATGTTTGTAGACCCCTGCATTTCATGTCCTCGCTTTCCATACTCCAAGTAACTTATTTCACGTACTGTATGTGTATAAATATGTTTTAGGCTCGCTGGCCTCGTCATGAAACTGCAATGAAAAAGCACCAGGGGAGGCAGCTATCACATCTGCCTCAGTGAGGACACGCCCCCTCAGCGAGGCCACGCCCCCTCGGTGAGGCCACGCCCCCCGCAGTGTGCGAATCTGGCTCTGACACCAGCCAGTGCCTCCCCAGCCATTGACCTCACCGCACGTCACTGGTGTGCAGTGTGAGGGTACGTGTTGAGCAGGCACGTGTGTGTGTGCAGTGTGAGAGTACGTGTTGAGCAGGCACGTGTGTGTGTGCAGTGTGAGAGTACGTGTTGAGCAGGCACGTGTGTGTGTGCAGTGTGAGAGTACGTGTTGTACTGGACTGCGTTGCCGGTGGCGCTGTGCTGGGGCAACACCACTCGCAGTCTCAAGGTTGCCAATCCATCACCATGCCGGGGTCGTTAAACCAGCTACCACTTAGTGGAAAATCAACAGCAGGGATCCCACAGAGAACCTGGCCCGGCCATGCGGAATGTCCTCCTCTCGCCAAGGCCTGCTGGGAATTGCACCGATCCCGCGCCCGTTTGACAACGGACGCCCTCGTCGTGAACATGGTGGTGGTGGTGGTGCTGGTGGTGGTGCTGGTGGTGGTGCTGGTGGTGGTGGTGGTGCTGGTGGTGGTGGTGCGATGTCCGAGTCTCATCGCTGGTGAGGCGGTGAGAGGCGGACTCGGGTTGCACTCCGCGATTCCTGTAACCACAGCTGTCAGCACCTTATCAGTGCCCTACCTCATGACAGACCAATTCAGACCTTACTGGTCACCCTGTGCCCCTTGTGAATCTCAACGTTCATCCCACAAAGTCCCAACACAAGGGAGAAACACAGACAAGAACAATGTTTTTTTGCCAGAATTTAAACGGCTGTACGCCGCGTGGACCTGCACACTCAATCTCCCTGTGCAAGGATACGAAGTTAAACCGTGCGGGTTGACGCGGTGTCCCCGTCGTCTACACGGACAACGTCGAGATGATGAATGGCATCCTTTGCACGAGATAGTAAAATAGAAATACAGACTTGATTGATTGATGACTCCGCGTTCGTGCCGATCGACACCCCTGGACACACGCCGTACCCACGAGATGTCCCCCCCCCCTCCAGAGCCAGACTCCAGAAAAGTGCGACGGCGTATATCGAAACGACGTCAATGGCAAGCGGTTTACGGGGTCGCGGTAGTCATGGGTTGTTGTTGTTGGTGGTGACGGTGGTGGTGGAGGCGAAGGGGGTGAGAGGCGACGTATAACGAGAAGAGGTCGGGACGATGCTGCCAGCGACGTAAGCGCGGGTTGAGGCGAACGCAAATGAGGTCGTGGCGGTGTTGATCAAAGTGACGGCGTATTTGCGAAACGACGTAACATGGGAGGGGGGGTTTGGTTGTGGAGGAAAGAATAAATGTGCCTACGGCCGGGTACCACGACGGTGTCTCTGAATATGCGCACACAAAAGAGGCCTCCACACCGCTGCTTCTCGTGCCGGGAGCAGGCGGCGATCGCGACCTCACAGCCCCCCCCCCCCCCCCCGTGTCTCCCCCCTTCCCTCCTCGCTGCTCGCCTCACTGCCCCCCACAGCCGCCACGCTGCTGGGGATGGGGGGGGGGGTCCTCACCTGATTACAGATCACGGCACCTGCGCGGACGTGCGCGCAATGCCCCCTGCGCGCGTGCGTGTGAGTGCGTGTGTGTGTGTGCGCGTGCGTGCGTGTGAGTGCGTGTGTGTGTGTGCGCGTGTGCGCGTGCGTGCGTGTGAGTGCGTGTGTGTGTGTGCGCGTGTGCGCGTGCGTGCGTGTGAGTGCGTGTGTGTGTGTGCGCGTGTGCGCGTGCGTGCGTGTGAGTGCGTGTGTGTGTGTGCGCGTGTGCGCGTGCGTGCGTGTGAGTGCGTGCGTGTGCGCGTGCGTGCGAGTGCGTGTGTGTGTGTGCGCGTGTGCGTGCGTGTGAGTGCGTGTGTGTGTGTGCGCGTGTGCGCGTGTGTGCGTGTGAGTGCGTGCGTGTGCGCGTGCGTGCGAGTGCGTGTGTGTGTGTGCGCGTGTGCGCGTGCGTGCGTGTGAGTGCGTGTGTGTGTGTGCGCGTGTGCGCGTGTGTGCGTGTGAGTGCGTGCGTGTGCGCGTGCGTGCGAGTGCGTGTGTGTGTGTGCGCGTGTGCGTGCGTGTGAGTGCGTGTGTGTGTGTGAGTGCGTGTGCGTGTGTGAGTGCGCGTGCGTGCGTGTGTGCGTGTGCGTGCGCTCTCCACCACGGGCCTGCCTCTCTCTCTCTCCCTCTCAGCAGCCAGCAGCAAGGAGGCTGAGCATCATAAATCATTAGCGGCAGCAGCAGCAGCCGCCTATCACCCCCCCCCCCCCCCCCACGTCTGTCCCCGAGTCCTACAGCTGCAGCCACAGCGAGCGCCGTGCTCCAAACTCGGGGTCCATCCTCGAGAAAGCGGGGGACCCCCCTCACCCCCCCCCCCCCACCGCCGCCTCTGCTGCTGCATTGGCCGCACCGGCCGTGCCGGGCCGCACGGCCCGACTGGCCGTGCACCCGCTGTTAATGCGCGGCGCCGATGAATTAAATAATCCCCGCACCCCTCCTCCGCCTCCTCCTCCTCCATCCAGCAGCAGCAGCAGCGGCGGCGGTGTCGGGTAAAGGAGGAGAGCGCCGCCGCCGCCGCTGCCGAGAGAGAGGGGAGAGGAGCCGGGGCGAGGAGGAGGAGGATGATGAGGATGAGGAACGCGCCGTCTCGCTCACCCGTGAGGATGCCCACGCGGATCTGGAAGCTGTGGTTGAAGAGAATCTGCCCGTCCGCGGCCATCATCATCTTCCCCTGCTGCTGCTGCAGCAGCTGCAGCGGCGGCGGCGGCTGCTGCTGCTGCGGCGAGCTCCGCAGCGCGGCGCGTGACGTCACGGCGACTGCTGCTGCTGCTGCGAGTCCCGGGGCAGCGGCGGCGGCGGCGGAGCTCACCAAGGGGCAGCGGTCATTTTGCGTCGCGAGTCGCTCTGCCCACAGCCCCCCCCTCGTCCCGCCTCCTCCCTCCCTCCCTCCCTCGTACCGCCTCCTTCCCCCCTGGCCCCGCCCCCTTCCCCCCCTCACGCCCCCCCCCCTCTCGTCCCCCCCTGCTCGTTCCCCCTCGTACCCCCCATCGCCCACCCTCTCCCTCGTCTCCCTCGCCCCCCCTCGTCGCCCCCCTTGTCTCCCCCCCCCTTGTCCCCCCTCCCTTGTCCCCCCTCCCCCTTGTCCCCCCTCCCCCTTGTCGCCCCCCCCCCCCTTGCCCCCCCCCTTGCCCCCCATCGTCGCCCTTCCCTCCCAGTTCGAATTAGGGTGACTATGTGGCCGGCCTTAATAACCGACGAACCGATAACCGATGGCCGTGAACCGGTAACCGTTGTCAGAATCAACACACATACGTCAATAGCACTGCCTTAAAAGGAAAACATATAATATATACCGTATAGTTCGGCGACGTTTCGGGCAATGGCTCTGCTTCACCGCACAAGAATAAAGAAGCCAGAGCGATAATGGATAATAGGAGTTGGAGACTTCACACCCACAGGGCCGAGTAAGAAGGCAAACTCCGTCGATATTTATGTCATCATTACCGGAATACAGCAATTTGTATTTAAAGTGGCATTTCCATTTAATTTGAGCGTATTTTACCTGAAACGTGTAATATAAACAGACGTGTGTTCCAACGGAGGTTACACCGTATACGGCCCTAAGAGGTGATACAGGTTTGTCTCGCACTCAATCATACAGCAGAAGGGCACCCGCCAGAGGCATCTCTGGAGGGCATTTGATCTCCTCTTCCACACTGACCAGGCGTGGTGATAGAGGTGGACACGGCACTTACACTTTACCTCCACCACACGTGAATGCTGATAAGCAAACTGGTGCACTTATATACACGCTTGGGTTAACACAAGCCGGGACGATGTCAGACATTCTTCACATGTCCACTGCCGCTCCGGGAGATCGAATGAAACCGGCGACCGCTGGGTCACAAGTTCGGTGTGCGACTGATTTAGGGGAACGTCCATAAATGACGTCACGCGATTTTGGACGATTTTTGACCCCCCCCCCCTCGTCACACGGCGTCACAAAAAGTCAGACCCCCCCTCAAATATGACATCACAAAGCTCTGCCCCCCCCCCCTAAAAAATATAAAACATGCTTCAAATCGCTTAAAACTATTATCATTGTAGTGCGTATTTAATGTGACGCTGCAATCTGATGTTGTTGGAGAAAACATTCAAAAGTCTTTAATTAAGTATAACGTGTTGTCTATATTTATTTAAAGTTGCGCATTTTGATGTGACGTCACATTTCTCACCCCCCCCCCCCTCGTCACACATCGTCACAGATGTCTGACTCCCCCCCCCCTAGGTGCGTGACGTCATTTATGGACGGCCCCTTAACAAACATCACGAGAGAGCTCCCTCCTATATAGAGCGCACGGTATCCCATCTCAGACCGTGAAGGGGCATCCCCAGTGGCAGCTGTCCCTGTGGGCACCAAGGTTTACCCGCCTGAATTCGTCTGTCAGCATGTGGCGATGCTTGCCAAGGTGATTTTCACAAATCTGGCTGTCCGCCTGATGAAGCTAGTTGTAATTTTTGGCGAAACGTCGGACTCAAGATTGTAAACGTTGCGGATGTGCTCACCAACACACTGGCGTGCTGTCCTCGTAACGAATTGGCACGTTCCGCTTACGTTGACACACCTTACAAATTGGCTGTGTCGGCTGGTGGCGGGCTTAACGACACACATTGAGGCGATCTAACCCGACACAAACCTCTATTGTGGGCGATTTTCTAATTTGGCAAATGTGGAGCGCATTGAGGCGAGGAGGAGGGCCTTGAAGGGCCGCTGTGGAGGCCGCGTGGCATCACTGCGTCGTCACGACTCCTACGCACACACTCATCATCACCTAGGGCGGTCGCTGCAATCGAACCCTTAACCTCTGCAGCAAGCGAGAATCGCGCTCCCGCTCGGCGATGTTGCTACTACTACTTATGAATTATTATATCAGCCACCTTAATTGTCGACTGATTTATTTAAGCGCTAAAAAAATTACCCGTAAAAACAATGTTTTTCACTATAAATCCTTTATATGCGTGGCGGCTAGAGTCCTCTCGTCCGTCTGGCTTGAGGTGGCTGCCACCTATGGGTCAGATGATTGCCTGCCACCATTAAGCAATTGGTAATTAAATATAATTATTTTTTTCCTGAAAAGTGTAAAATTTAGGAATTTTTTTCACGAAAATAAATTGTCACGCACAACGAGTCTGTGTGCAAAATGTCAGCTCGATTGGATCACGGGAAGTGGGTTAAAAAACGACCGAAAGATTTGCACGGTCATAAGCGCGCAAGCAAGCAAGTGAACTTAATATAAAGGATTTAAAATGAGACTCCTCTGCAGGACGAAATCGGCCCAGAGTCAGCTTTGTTGAACCAACGCTTCTGAAAGTTACGTACACACTCGGGTGGATGTGTAAAGGACAATAAAGAAAACTCGTTTTAATTTACGTCAAAGGAACGAGCGATTGCGTTGTTCAAATAAGGGGCCTTCCATAAACGACGTCACGCACCTAGGTGGGGGGGGGGGGGTCAGACATTTGTGACGATGTGTGATGAGGGGGGGGGGGCTATGAGAAATGTGACGTCACATCAAAATGCGCAACTTTAAATAAATATAGACAACACGTTCTACTTGATTAAATATACTTTTAATAAATGTTTTCTCCTACAACATCAGAGTGCAGCGCCACGTTAAATACGCACTATAATGGCAATAGTTTAAAGCGATTTGAAGCAGGTTTTATTTGGAGGGGGGGCAGAGCTTTGTGACGTCATATTTGAGGGGGGGGGGGTCTGACTTTTTGTGACGCCATGTGACGATGGGGGGGGGGGGTCAAAAATCGTCCAAAATCGCGTGACGTCATTTATGGACGGCCCCTAAAGCATCGAGGAGGCGATGCTCTCACGCGTTTTCCAGTCCCGGGCCAGCGGTGGACCGTGCCTCGTCCCTTTGACGGGGCGACTCCGATCACCCAACAGGACAAATCGCCGTCGATTTCAATGTGGAAGGTCGCACAACGGGGAAGGAGGCGGTGCGTGTCTGCCGATTAATTTAGTTCCTTCGCCACTCTGTGAGAGGGGGGGGCCCCGTGTGAGGAATGAATGCCCGGGCTGCCCACGCCACCACCACACAGACACCACCACCACCACACCACCACCACACAGCCACCACCACACCACCACCACGCCGCCACCACACAGCCACCACCACCACCACACAGCCACCACCACACCGCCACCACCGCCACCACCACGCCGCGTGGACCTGCCGCAGAAGCGGGGGGGGGCTGCTGGTGAGCCGGAGCGAGGGGATTATCCGAGGGGGATTTCAACCCCCGGATCAAGCGGCCTTGGGGCACATTGTGGGTGGTGGGTGTTGGTGGTGGTGGGAGGTGACATTATTTCGCTGCGTTTCACCTCGATAAACGCCACAGCCACCGGCTCCCCCAAATGCCGCTGCCAAATAACACCAATGGCCGGATGACAATAGTTACTTTGTAAGAATTACTCTTTATGTATATTTTTTGTAATAACCCTTTACATTTGAGCGCGTCCCGATGGTACAACGTAGGGGCGGATAGACGAGAGAGAGACGATGCCGCCTCTTGCGTTGAATTCAAATCGCCGACCCCGGGACCCATCTGCTGCCTGCATCCTCGCCGCGAGAAGCGCCACTCACACGGGAAGAGTCGTGACGCAGATCCCCCGGATAGCCGCCAACAGACTGTAGGGGCAAGTGCTGTTAGCGAGTAATACAGCACCTATAAAGGGACAACAGACTTGGGGCAAGTGTTGTTAGCGAGTAGTACAGCACCTATAAAGGGCCAACAGACTGTAGGGGCAAGTGCTGTTAGCGAGTAGTACAGAACCTATAAAGGGCCAACAGACTGTAGGGGCAAGTGCTGTTAGCGAGTAGTACAGCACCTATAAAGGGCCAACAGACTGTAGGGGCAAGTGCTGTTAGCGAGTAGTACAGCACCTATAAAGGGGCCAACAGACTGTAGGGGCAAGTGCTGTTAGCGAGTAGTACAGAACCTATAAAAGGGCCAACAGACTGTAGGGGCAAGTGCTGTTAGCGAGTAGTACAGCACCTATAAAGGGCCAACAGACTGTAGGGGCAAGTGCTGTTAGCGAGTAGTACAGCACCTATAAAGGGGCCAACAGACTGTAGGGGCAAGTGCTGTTAGCGAGTAGTACAGCACCTATAAAGGGCCAACAGACTGTAGGGGCAAGTGCTGTTAGCGAGTAGTACAGCACCTATAAAGGGGCCAACAGACTGTAGGGGCAAGTGCTGTTAGCGAGTAGTACAGAACCTATAAAAGGGCCAACAGACTGTAGGGGCAAGTGCTGTTAGCGAGTAGTACAGCACCTATAAAGGGCCAACAGACTGTAGGGGCAAGTGCTGTTAGCGAGTAGTACAGCACCTATAAAGGGCCAACAGACTGTAGGGGCAAGTGCTGTTAGCGAGTAGTACAGCACCTATAAAGGGGCCAACAGACTGTAGGGGCAAGTGCTGTTAGCGAGTAGTACAGCACCTATAAAGGGCCAACAGACTGTAGGGGCAAGTGCTGTTAGCGAGTAGTACAGCACCTATAAAGGGGCCAACAGACTGTAGGGGCAAGTGCTGTTAGCGAGTAGTACATAACCTATAAAAGGGCCAACAGACTGTAGGGGCAAGTGCTGTTAGCGAGTAGTACAGCACCTATAAAGGGCCAACAGACTGTAGGGGCAAGTGCTGTTAGCGAGTAGTACAGCACCTATAAAGGGCCAACAGACTTGGGGCAAGTGTTGTTAGCGAGTAGTACAGCACCTATAAAGGGCCAACAGACTGTAGGGGCAAGTGCTGTTAGCGAGTAGTACAGCACCTATAAAGGGCCAACAGACTGTAGGGGCAAGTGCTGTTAGC